GGGGCCGGGGCAGGGGCAGGCCGGGCAGGGGCAGAGGTAGGCCGGGACAGGCAGGGGCAGGCCGGGACAGGCCAGGGCAGATGGGCAGGCCAGGCCGGGCTGGGGCAGGCAAGGGCAGGCCGAGCCGGGCAGAGGTAGGCCGGGTGGGCAAGGCAGGGGCTTCCCCACCCGCAGGCCGCCTTTCTGCCACCCTCCGCGGTTACGCAGTAGGCCGAGGGCTGGACGAACACGGTTCGAAGCCAGCCCAGGCAGGAGAAATCCATGAGACCCTTATCTCCAATGTACCACCCAAAGGGACCCAAGTACAAGTGTGGCTCCAAGTGATAAAAGCGCCAATCTGGGGCAGAAGGAGCTAAGGCACAGCACCAGGGCCCTCAGTACAAGCCCAGTCCCAGCACAAAACAAAAACATCATCATCATCATCATCATCATCATCATCATTTCTCCACAGGACAAAGGATCCCCAAGAGCACATAGCTAATGAGGTCAACCCTGCCAGCTAAGAGTCGTAAAGACTCAGGCTTGCACTGAAGACCCCAGTACTGCAGTGCTGCACTCCCAGGCCACCCCTTCACAGGGTGAGCTGGCATAATCACTCCTTAGAGGTCAAAGAGGAGACCTGTCAAGTTATTCTTCTCACAATAATGCTTTGCATAGACCCAATTATAGCCACCTAGAGAATTCGTTATGTTGTGCACACCATAATTTCAATTTTCCAAGTGCTGCTCTTAGATTAATTAAGAATGTAGAAGTTAAGGTCTCCAGGGAATTCCCATTTCCTAGATAGGGAAATGGAGATCCTTTCTCTCCTCTCCTGACACCTCCCACACCCTCCCCCCTCACACTAACCTTTCCCCTTAAAAAAAAAAATGGCTTGCAGGAAGAGAACAGAACAGGAGAAAAATCCACGGTCAAGGTAAAGCAAGTTTTCCAAATGCATCTACCTCAGGATGTCTGCACTGAGGACTGGAGACTTTGAAATCCAGCTCTAGTCCTGCCTGCCCACGATACCTGTAAAAATGGCAAGAAACTTCTTTTTTTTCTCCCCCTTCCTGTCACTACCAAATTTAGTGCTTGAGAAAGTGAGGAAATCATTGCACTAAGCCTGAGCCAAGCTTCAAACTGGCAGGTGCTCCTAAGCTTATAACTTCCCCAATTCATCTCTGCCAACGGGCTTCGGAGCTGACCCTGCTACTCTCTGCTATTTCAGGGCTGGCCCTCCCCAGAAGAGAAACTGCCAATTGGGTAGATTTGGGCCAAATGATTTGGAGAGTTGTGTGATCTGGACAGCAGAACCTAAGCGATGGAATTCCAAACCATACTGACCCTGCATTGTTCAGAGGTGACCCAAATGGGATTTGAACCCAGGTCCTCGGGAGGTTAGAAAAGGCTCATTTTTGGCCATCTATAATACCACCTGGCCCTCTGCGTGGGTTTCTTTCCCAAGACAGCAAGTTTTACTACAGCTGTTTATGTCTCCTGAATGCAATCCAAAAGCATTCTTCACCAGCCAAAACATACTTTTAAATAATGTTAAGTGACCAACAAAAGCAAAGAAATTAAAAGTTAATGGTGAGATCCTGTTGCTACAGCACCCCACTGTGGCTTTTTATAAAAAACAACAGAAGGAATTCTAGATCCCCCAAAACCCAAGTTCCTGTTCAGAAGTAAGTCGCCAGAAGCATTTCAATTCTGTTGTTAATGAAGTTCTGCCCATGAAAAGCCTTCCTCCCAGGCAGGGGGTAGGGATGGATACATACTCCTGTCCCTGGCCATTCTAGTACCCCCTTCCTGTGCTTTCCTGACCAAGATTTCACTAGGACTGGTTCTTTCACTTGCCACCAGCTTCTGACCCCTTGGGTGTCCCAAGTCACAGAGAGCTCCTGAGGGAGGGGAGGGGGGAGGGGTTGCCAAAGGTCTGCCCCAGGGCTAGGTGGTAAAAGGGGGCACAGGTCAGACAGCATCTATGTCCCTGCGTAAGGGGCAGAGCTCAGATTCCATTTCACAGGTGTCTTTACATCTATGGACAGCCAGAGACAAGCTCATCCATGGACAGAAAGCTCCAGAAGCTTCTGGAAGAAGGAAAAGGCCAGAGCAAGAGCCCAGATCCAAAATCAAAAAGTCTTATGTACAAGAATTTTATGTAGCTTCTTTTCCACCAGATCCTGGCCTTGTGTCTAATTATAACATAGGTGCAAATTGAAAGGAACAACAGTGTTTGGTTTTCTCTTGTACTTAGGATTTTATTTGAGCTACATCTTCCCAGCGGGACTATGTATCGCATGTGGCCTTTGAGCCAAGCATTTGGCTGTGTCCTCCGGGTATCCTCTGGTGGCAGTTTCTCCCCTTCTCTCCAGACAGAAGAGTACTTTCCTATGATCATTTTTAGTCCCTTTAGCCTAGGGCTTGCTTTAAAGTTCCTCTTCATCTGCTAAAGAGAAGAAATGCTTGCCTGAAGCATGCTCTTCTCAGGTCTTACTTATGCCTGGTCCCTCGCTACCAACACCAACAACAGCCATCAGACAACGTGACCTAATCAAGGCCATCTCTTCACAGCACTGAGATGCGTGGCTCATGGTATTTCAGAGCTTGGAGAAAATTTGGGAAGCATCTACCCTATACTCTTTGGGGGACTGGACAGGCAAGTCGGTGAGGGCCTTCTGAGGAGCCCTGATTCCAAAAATGGTGGATATAAGGAGAAGAACTCAACACCCAGTGTTCTTCCAGTTTCTTGACATCATCCATGGTCTTTATCTTAGCCATCCTACTCACCATTTCTGTTCAGTTCTAGCTTGTGAGTTTCATGAAATTCCTGTATGCTCACTCATCCAGGAAAGTTGTAAAAAGCTTAATGGAAATCTAAGATAACCCTGAGGAAGCTGGACGCACTTAGAAACTCCTTCTGTGGCTGGTCATAAAAACATTTGCACAATGCATTATAAAAGAAAGGCAGGCTTACCAAAAACTACCTACAGTGCCTAGCATCTGCAAGAGAGATAGTAAGACCCATGTTTGTTGAGCAAATAAAGTGGAATCTCTGTTTTCTTACACAAAACTGCACAATCAACATAGATTGTATGTCTGAAGAATAATGGTGATTCTTAGGTGATTGAGCGAGTGGTTAATTTTACGTTTTTAAAAATCAGTTTGTCTAAATTCTCAGTACTAGAAGATGTATCATAAAGAGGGGAACTTGAGCTGGACATGGGTGGTTTACACCTGAAATCCTAGCTCTTTGGAAGGCTGAGATCTGAGAACCACAGTTCAGATAAATTGGACAGATAAATTGGAAAGACCTTATCACCGACAAACCAGCAGAAAAGCCAGAAGTGGTGCTGTGGCTCAAGTAATAGAGCGCCAGCCTTAAGCAAGAAACTATCCATAGTCTGGAGTGAATGAAGCAGAGGTCATTTATGTTTAAGACAATAGCCACTACATTTCTGTGCACACTGTATTTATAAAACTTGGCCAAGTTCAATTATTCTTAATAAAATTGTGAATTCTTTAATTTTTTTTAAAGGGTCACAAAAGGTGAAGAGCACAGAATGGAAAGAAAGCACACCTTGGCTAAAATTACACTTGCATGAGGCCTTCTTACACTTCCTTATCAAAAGCTCGAGTCACAGCTCAACAGGTTAGGACATGGTGAGTTTGAATACAGTAGTGATTTCACACAACTGCTTTATTGTACTGGTTATTGATTTGTTCTGAAAGCATTTGAAGACCCCAGGACCCAGCGCGCCCTGGTAGCTCTCATCTGTAACAGTGTCCTGGCGATTCGCCGGTGTCATCAAGGAACCAACTCATCTCCCTGTAGTTTCAGGGTCAACAGTTCCTGCTATTGAAAACCCAGCCTTTTTTCCCCCCTTGGGTTTATAAATAGTTGTTTTAAGTGACCCTGAGCCGAAACCAAGCTTACAAGGTGTCAGGCTGGATGGAAGTTTTCTGCTCGCTGAAGCTTTAAATTCACCAGACCTGATTTCTAAACACAGTCACTAAAATAAGTTTTAAGTTTAAAGGCACGTCTTTTTAAGTCTCATCCTACTAATTTGCAGATTTCAAATAAGAGTTTTTTAAGCCATCACCACGTAGGCTCAGGAAAATTCAACCAACCAAAACCTAACTAGATGAATTCTAACAATAAGGGCATTCTGCTCCCAGGAGAAAAAGGCAAGTGATAGAAAACAACTTACATCGTGGATTTAATTTTATTTTTAATCTTCTAAGCCATTTCCAAACCTCAGTAGAGGCTCTGTCCGATCACACTTTTTAGAGCTACAATTGGGAACAGTGATTACTGATCTCTCTAAAAAGATTAGACAGCAAGATTTCAAACTAAGCAAATACCTTAATTATGTGCATATACCCTACTTATATCAAGGAAGGAGACCCTTGATACATAATGTCAACAGCTAAACAATATTGGAAGGTTATTAGTAAAACAGCATTATCATTATTATTAAAACATTCCATGAGAGTTAATTAGAATTAAATAATGGCCATGGAGCCTTCCTGTGTCCATTATTCTGGCACTGTTATCTAGCTTCTGTATTACCGGGTGTAGCCTTCCTCACAGACAATATTGGTCCTATTGAGCAGATGAGACAATTGAGAGTCTAAAGGTTAACTTGTTGAAGGTCACTTGGCTCTCAAGTTGGATAATAACATTTAAATTCAGGTCTGTCCAACTGAAAAGCTCCTGTTCTTCTGATCTCATCAATTCCCTCCTTGAAGTTGAGACAAAGTCAACATCAGTGAGGTGCCTACAATTTCATATTACTGCAGCCCCACCAAGATGTCACCTTGCAGCTCAATCTCCACAGCTACCCTGCAGGGCTCAGCTCCTGACTGTTTTTGATAGGACATTAAAAATTATGTACTATGGAAAAAACGATTGCTCAGTTTCAAGGAGGATCCTGGGTCCAGTCAGGACCAGTCTCTGAGCCTTCCATAGGTTTCAATAAAGTGAAATTTCAGGTGTCTCTCAAAGAAATGTTTTCACGTATCCTACCAGGCAACTCTGGGTGTTCCTCTGGAGAGGGGAGCAGCTGAAGTAGGGGGCAGGTGCCCAGGAAAGGGATCAGCACCAGGAGACTTGCCTCTGGCACTGAGGCCCAGCTGCTATTGCTGCATTGGGTTTTCCCTTCCTCTTGCTCTTTCAAACTCCCAGAAATGCATCGTCATTCAAGGCCAGCCAATGCAGTTGCTCCTCTTTAAGAAAGGATGTCTGTACACTACATTATCTTTGCCATTGAATACTGACAATCCTCTCTGCCTTTAAGTTCTAGGTTAAAAAGTGGACACAAGTATTTGTAAAGAAATCCCTCTCGACATCTTTCATTTGTGCCAAATTCTAACTTCACACTGAGCAGTCAGTGCACACTCTGCTACAGCGCCCCCTCTCGGCTGAGAAGCCGCCTGCGTGTGACTGTATGGGACCCCAAGGGTGCCTGTTCTTCCCCGGGTCCCGTGGGAGCTGGCTTACCTTCATGTGGGATTTGAGATTGTCCTTGCGAGCACACCGGAATGGGCAGAGCGGGCACTGATGACTTTTTAAACCTGTGTGAATCACCATGTGCCGCTTCCAGTAACTCTTCCTTTTAATAACCAAACCACATATTGGACACTGGAAAGGCTTCCCGCTTTCTTCTTCTGAGGCTTGGAAGAAGGAGGAGGAAAAAAAAAAAGAACATTAAGACAAACACAAAGGCACTCATACACACATGCGGCTAAGTAAAAATGATCTGGGATTCTTTCCTTGGCAATTCCAAGACTGCATCATGGAGAGGTCTTATGACTGCTTTTCTTCAAGTAGAAACCCACAGTTCTCTAGTCACTTCATTGGGGTTCCATGTGCCCAACTCTGATCAGCCTGCCTGTGCCAGTCTTATTTCCACTTAGGAGAGCAGCTCTCAGAGGAAGTGTTCCTGGCTCGGCCTGGCCCATAGCACCAAAGCCAACGCCTGCAGGCAATGGAGCCTAAAGTCAGAGGCATGATTTCCTTGAGAGAAACCAACAGGCCTGAGTCTCTCTGAATTCTTGTTTTTGGAAAGGAGCGAGAAATAAAGACAGGGAAAAACATATTGCTCCACACAGAAAACTCAACAGCCATCACACACCTCATATGCAGAACTCTGATGGAGACGCATTTCAGGATTCCCTCATATGCAGAACTCTGATGGAGATGCATTTCAGGATTCCTATTGTTTAGCTGAAGCTTGTGCAGATAGGTGCTGCTGCCCATTCAACCACCAGGGTTTTAATCATTTCTGTTCGTCCCTGGAGTTGTCACTAACAAGGTGTGCTGTCAGCTCTGCTCTGGGTCTGTGTGTCCACCTTCTACTTTGGGAAGAGACATGCTAGAACACCATTGCAGCCTTCATTATTCAGGGAGGCAAACACAGGGATTGCTTTCTCCAGGTAAAGCTAAGATCATGGTCTCACACACCATCCCAAAGGGCGCTGTTTCTGTAATCACACTACATTGCTAAATTTCAGGTCTATCAACCTGTATGAGTCAGCGACACAAGAACCTCTGCAGCCTGGAGATACAGGGGGAAGAGAAGAGCTGGCGAAGGCTCAGACATTCCTTTCTTCATCATGAAGAATCAGAAATTGTTCCAAACCCATTCAACAAAATGAAATAAATGCAGCTCATTTAACATGAGCTAGATCTACAAATGTTGATATGGGAATCTGTCCAAGATATTAGAGTTACAGGATAAACAAGATATAAAACCATATGTCCAGGGTGATGCTACGTCTGTTTTATAAAAACAAACAAAAAGAAAGGACATCAACTGATGCTAAAACTCTTAAGTGAAAGGTGGACATGGAAGTTTACAAAGGACGGGTCAAGCTGATAGCACCTAAGACAATGGACGAATGGTTGCGAAGACGCAAGGCGTGCTGGGCACTAGCAGCTCACTCCTGCAATCTTAGCTACTAATGAGGCTGAAATCTGAGGATACTGGTTTGAAGCCAGCATAGGCAGAAAAGTCCATGAGACTCTTACTTCCAATTAACCAGCAAAAAGTCAGAAGTGGAAGTATAGCTTAAGGGGTAGAGCACCAGCTTTGAGTGAAAAAGCTAAGGGACAGTGCTCAGGCTCTGATTTCAAGCCCCAATATTGGCATATGCGCGCACACACACACACACATGGAAAGGCATTATGTGTATTCTGATATACCACCCATGACATATCTTTATGAAAAATTTAATCCTCATACTAACTAGCAGTTCATCTGAAGCACAAGTAACAACAACAAAAAGTTAAACACACCAAGGGAATGGATTCATGAATTCAGCCAAATCTAGAGCATGAAAATTCCTCAGGACAAAAAAATCCATTTCTTCAATACACACAATGGCATTTAAAGAGAGAAAGGAAGGGCTGGGAATGTGGCTTAGTGGTAGAGTGCTTGCCTAGCATGCATGAAACCCTGGGTTTGATTTCTCAGTATCACAGACACAGAAAAAGCTGGAAATGGTGCTGTGGCTCAAGTAGTAGGGTGTTAGCCTTGAGCAAAAGAAGCTCAGAGACAGTGTTCAGGCCCTGAGTTCAAGCCCAGGACTGGCAAAGAAGAAAAGGTGTGTGGGGGGGATTATGCATCTTTTTAAGACATAAGAGAAATATAAAACAAAAGTAAGGTATGGTTATTTGGATCCTTTTAAAACAAAATCCTGGTCAAAGAAACTTCTGGCCAGGCACCAGCAGCTCACAAGGCTGAGCTAGCTACTCAGGAGGCTGAGATCTGAGGATCACAGTACAAAACCAGCCTGATGATTCTTATCTCCAATAAACCACCAGAAAACTGGAAGTGGCACTGTGGCTCAAGTGGTAGAGCTTTGAGCTGAAAAGCTCAAGGACAGCGCCCAGGCCCAGAGTTCAAGCCCCACAACTGACAAAAGAAAGAAAAAGAGAAACTTTTGAAATCTTTGAGGAAATCCTAGCCCCAGGCTAGTATACCTTAATCTCAGATAACTATTGTCGGTCCAATTAGTAGTACAATTGCAGTTATTTTAGTCAAAGTCATTCTCTGTTAGAGATAGAAGAATATTGGAAGTATTTGAAATACTTTAGAAAAAGGCAAACAAATTCCATTTGCATGAAGAGTTTCTGCAAGGACACTGTGAGCTACAGGGAGAGCATGAAGTAGCAGGTGTACTTGAACTTGGGGCCTCTAATTCTCACTTGACTTTTTCCACTGCTGGAAGCTGCCAACACCAAACCTAAGCCACACCTCCAAGTCTGGCTTTTTGCTAGTAAATTAGAGATATGAGTCCCACAAGTCTCTTCCTTGTCTGGCTTCAAGCCATGATCCTCTGATCTCAGCCTCCCGAGTCACTAGGATTACAGGCATGAACCACCTGCTCCCAGCTTTCAATCATTTTTATTAACCCCAGGCACACAGCTTCCATGCTGTCTGATTTTTGTTGACTGCCTTTACTGATCTGCCCGTATTCCCACCCCAGTTTCGCCTCTCATTTTCTGTCTTTCACTGCTGTTTCCTCCACCCTGCCATCTTGGTCACAAAGCCCTTCGTGTTGAGCAACAGACAGAGTAAGGACTGAATCAGGCCTCTAGGTAAGATTACTGTCGAACACTAGGGAGGGGAAAGAGGTAATGAAGTCCTGCTTTGAAGGGTAAGAACATCAAAGTAATAAGAAAGAGACACAGATGGGCTGCCACGGAGCCCTCGTTTGGGGAACCGTTTGTCACTATTGAGACCTCAAGCTGCCCAGTTGTACAGAACTATCTGGGAGAGGAAAGGAAAACTGAGGAGTCTTCTACTGGCCAGTGAGTTCATGGCACACCAGAGGAAGGCAATAAGAAGGCATTAACTGGAAAAAATGAGCATTGCCAGATTGTAGATTTCACGAGCACCTGCCTTGCTTAATGTGACCAGTGTGTCCTTACCCTGTTCTTTGAAACCTCCCAGTACCCCCTTAAACCACCACTTCAGAGGTTTCTGCAGTAAACTCAGTGTTATTAGTATTTCCTACAAATCCATTTCCTTTTAGAGCAATGCTTTCTCAGTTTTAATTGACATACCCAGTCATATATAAATTAGACTGGATTGACTGGGAAATATTAGAATACTCACAATGAGTAGAAACTATTTGCAAGAAATGTGGTCAAAGAGCTATATTTGTATAACTAGTTAGATTTTTTTAAATTGTTGATAGCAGGAAAAAAACAAAATGATGAAGGTCACCAGAATGCAATGACTGATTTTCAGATTGGACCAGTAATTTCTCCCCCAGTACCATTTGCATTCTCATTTATTTGAAAAAGAAACTACATATTTTAGTAAGACCCACCCCATATGTGTACAAAGTTAGTTCCATACTGGAGGGCGGGGGGGAGGGGGAATGCATTCTATTTTGTATGCTGAACTATTTTCAGGGTACCGACAGCTGTAAATTTCACTCAAATTTAGAGTCCAGAGAAATATGGCTGCCTCCTCTGAATGAGCCATGCGTTCTTGAAGCAACAGGTTCTGAAATGCTCATAATTTTACCTAGTTTACAACTGCCTGGTAAACAACCTTCCCCCAATATATCACCAGCTGGTTGATATCAGAGCAAACAAAACTAATTCCACCAAATGCTAATAGACTCAGTGGGATAGAGAGCTGCTAATTTGCTCCACTGGAGAAAACACGTTCTCTTTATAGGCAATAATATTATTGGAATAAGAGGTAATGAATGCATATAAAACGGCTGTCACATAGTAAATGGAAGCTCTTGGTAGTGATAGTTGTAATAAGAGGAGTAACAATAAACTCTAGGCACACTGTCCACAGCAGACAGCCCACCATCAGCGCAGACGCAAAGTCCATTAACTGCCATGAGGGTTACCACACCATGTGCTCCAGGGGCAGCCAGCGTGGGAGCTGGTCACTGGAAATAAAGGCACAGGAGTCTATGGGGCTTCTCAGAGAGGTTCCTGCTTGGCCTCCATGAACTTCCTGTGGCCCAAACTCAGCTAGGTATAGAAAAAAGAGAGATGGAAATGATGGGAGCATCCTAGACTGTACCAAGTTCAGCAGCATCTGATCTGGAAGTAGTATGTGCTGGGCTGGAATGAGATTAAATGAAAAAAGGGCTGGGCCAAGGGAAGAGAAAAGTGAAATGAGTGCTGGAAATGAAAGGAAAAGGTGGAGCAGGCTGCCAGAAACCCCAGTGGAGCTGCATCAGCCCCCAGAGTACGCCTCTCACATTATCCCCCCCCAACCGCCACCCCCCTCCTGTGCAAGCCTCCCACCAGCACTCCAGTACATGTCCTGAATGAAAGGATGGAGAATCAGCTAGATGAGCATGCACTTACACCTCAGTTATCTCCAAAAATGAACCCGGGCAGCTTATATTAAAAATACATCCGAAATAAAGTGCGATAATATGTGTCAAACTATTGGAATGGACAAGCCCTGCCCAACGCAAACCATGTTCTGTGAGGCTTTATAGCCACCGAAAAACTGGGAGGAAAATGATGTTTGCCATTTTTGAAAATTATGTTTCTACAAATAAGAGTCCAATCATAAGCAGTGAGTAAATGCAAGGAATTGTTAGCACAGGAGGAAATCCTTGCAATAATCCCAAACCAGCTCAGTTAATAGATGAGGAAAACGAATGGTGAGGGCGTGCTCCAATTAATGATGTCCTGCTAATTGGTGGCAAGGGCTAGGGTTATAGCCCATCTCTTAATTTCGACTTTAGTGTCCTACCATTTTTGTCTACACATGAATTCGCAAAGCAACAAAAGCCAAGCTTCACTGGGCTAATTAAAACACACACACACACACACACACACACACACACACACACACACACACACTATGGAAGGTTTCAATAGCTCAAACAAATAGAAACAAGTAGAATTTTCCCAGAGGCTTTGAAATATGAAATTCTCTCACTTGATCCTTCATGGCAATCTGCAGAAAGCCAAGAGGCTTTGCAAGTGGGTAGATGTGCAGCAAGCACATCCTACCGCACACACATAGATGTTATTCAAAACACCAGGCGACACAGGCTGAGCATTGTCCGTCACCACCATCTCCACTTCACACCTCCACCTCCACTTGTTTGTCTGTGTCTCTACAGGACGACAACACATTGCCTTTCCAAGTCTTCCCATGGAGTTTCAAATCTTTGAATGGAATTTCCTGGACCTGCCCCTCAAGGCCATTTCAGACCAATAGGTCTCAATGGGCTGATCTTTTCGTTACTGATTTGGATGTTCCCCATGTATATTTTTAACCCAAGAGAGAAGCTTGCTGTATCGACAGCTAGAGTAAGTTGAAAGCACTCAGAAAAATGCAAGTGAGAACAGCAACAGATGGTTCTACATCTTGGTTGAAAAGTGACTTTGCTAAACAAATGCAATGCGTGCAGCCCTTCTCAGATGAAGGCCATAATAACCATGGATCTAATGGGAGTACCAGGAGGTCATCGCCATCTCTGGACTTTGTATGCCTTTTGCAAGAATTTTAATAACATCCCATAAATACAAAAGGAAAGAGCAGCCAGAAAACCTTGCTATATTGACCTGGCACTGTCTTAGCGCTCAGCTGTGTGAGACAGGGTTGTTTCTAAGTGTATTTAAATTTCATTCCATAAGCTTAAGATGCTTTGGAGAGACCCTCTCTCTGAAATCCTCTCCGTTATTTCTTTTCACCAGGAGCCTGGCATCCTCAGACTCTTGCTGGCCTTCTAACAAGAAACTTTGTCTTGAAAATAAAAACCATTTATTTTATTCTTAGCTGCCATAGAACAGTAGCTTCAAAGAGAATTGAGTCAATGTGTGACATTTATCTTTATAGCAAACAGACATCATCCTCCCTCTGTCGGGTCCCCTTTCAGAGGAGCAGTGTGGCATGTGCTGGGGCGCAGGTCACATGAAAGCAGCCTCCTCCTCTGGTGTCACGTCTCCCTGGCAGGGCGGAAAGGCTATCGAGTGCTGGACTCTTAAGGAATTAAATACACCATGACCTGGCCACCGCAGAATCCTGCTTAGAAAAGAAGAAGAAGGCCAGACCTAAAAGACACTATTTTTTTTCATAGGATAGATTTCCCTTGACCTAAAGAAGGTCAAAGCAATGCTGGTGTCTGAATTACCCAAGAGAAGACCAACTTCGCCAGCCCAGAGTTCTTCGGAACTTCAAAACCAACTTTACATGCCCTTTTATTGGGGCAACACTCTGAGATACAGCTCTCTCTCTCTCTCTCTCTCTCTCTCTCTCTCTCTCTCTCTCTTTCAATGCAAACACTGCTTTACAAGATGGTGAGTGATTTATTTTTGTATCTCTGCTTCTGGAGGGGAGGGGATACAATTTACTTACTGAAATCATTAGGCAATAGAACTTTTTTTGCTTCTGTTGTGAAAATCCAGTCTACCTATTTTGAATCAAATTAAGATTTCTTTCTAAGGCAATAAGAATAAGAAAAATAAAATGAGGAGAAAGGTTGAACAAGAACATGGGTGGCAGCCACATTTCGAGAATGTTTTTTGGGGGAAGCCAAGTCACACCTGAATCCCATCCAGAGAGCCCTGAAACGTAGTAGGATATACAAGGGAGTCAGGTGAGAGAGAAGACTGCAGAACACTCATTTCCTTTAAATCCTCAGAGCACAAAATCAGTGCTATGGCTCTATGATATTGAACACAATTCTGACATAAGACAGAACTGTTTCACCAAGCCTGGATGATAGGCAGAGGCGTGTGAAATATGGGGAGGTGGCATTCCAGAAAAGTCCATCTGCAAGGGGTCCGAAAGACCAAATCTAACAAGTTCCTGATTTCAACTGGAACTTCTTCCAGCATTTCACTGATGAATAAATATATCGAGTGTTTCAGCAAGAGATAAATTCAGAAAAAAAGTGGGGGGAACCCCACAATTTCTTATAGATCTCTTTACATTAAATTCTGCTGAGAAGCCATGGAGATGTTGGCATGGGTGGAGTGTATTCAAGCAAAGAGAGAGATAGAGAAAGCGAGGGAGGGAAAGAAGGAAGGAAGGAAAGGAGGAAGGATGGAAGGAAGGAAGGAATACATCTCTTCCTCCCTTCCTCCATAGTACTCATCCTTCAACAAAACAAGCAAAAGATTGAGCTATACTGGAAGCCCAGGACCTCTTTCTCATTCTACTGCATCTAATCATTTGGGGGGAAAATTACGTTTTGCAGGTTATACCCAAGACCTCTTTAAGATGGCATAACCACTGCCATGTGTCTTCGAGAGACAGTTGTATCTGTCACTTCTGTCCAGACCCTAGTCAGTTTATTAAGTTGGTTTAAGCTTTTTCTCAAGTAACTGGTGTCCAGATGAATTCCCACTGCACCAAATAAGCAGGAGCAGACAATATGCATGAAATTACATGTTACATACAGAATAGTCATCCCTCTCTTTGCTCTTAAATCTAAACAAAATGTAAGTCAGGATTAATTTATTCCATTGCAAAATTACCCAGTTCCCCTTGTTCTTTCTGCTTCCTAATTTTAGCCATTTCACTATTTCACTGGATGGCAGGTGAGAATTGTTGGAGAAATGGAACTCAGAATTGATAAGCACTTCAGGATTTTAGAAATGGACACTTCACCAACTCAGCAGCAAATGGTTTGCATGACTTGAAAGTCACCAGAGTGCCAGGTACCCATTTTCCTAGTTCCATTCTGCTATTTATACAAGTTTTAAGGTAATGATAATAAGGCAATGCAGCTCACTCAGCAACTGGAATGGCAATTTGTCATAAATACACCAAAGTGAGGTTGGCTGTGACCATTCGGTCAAGTATTTGCCATTCCAAGCACTCTGGCACAGATCATGGAAAGCTGGCAGGGTGTTTCCAACGGCAGTGTTTTATATCGCTAAGAGGATTCACAGCCCACTTCCTGTTCCCGTCTGACAGTTATCTTCCTCCTGCCTCCATCCCCAGGAACATGTATTTTTCATGTGCATGGTTTCAAATACAACCTGCACCCAAAGTGAGACTTCCAACATGAGAACTCAAGACACTAAAGTACGCCCCGAGATGATCAACTCTGAGTATCAAAAGTGTGACACGGGGCTTTCTCCTTCAGAAAGACCAACGCCCCTAAAAAATATTAACAAGCTCACCGTTCAAATTGCCCACACACTCATTCCTTTACAACCCAACTAGAGTCAAATAAAATAAAGCACCTGCAAGAAATGCTCGGATTATTTTTGCTTGGCACGTTTTTTTTTTTTCCCCCCAGAGTTCTTCTATGACAAGAAATTACAGTCAAATAAGATCAGTGGGGGAAAAAAGGCTTAAATTCTACAAAAAGAAAAAAAAAGAGTAATAAAACTGCTAACATGAAAGTATACGCGGTGATGAATTAGGGCAGGGTAGTTACTGATTATACAAAAGTCTATGTGGCAGAGGCAGTCCCCCCTTCCCCCCAGGCCACCCTTTCAAAAAGCAGTGTGTGTTTTTCTCTCTATGTTCAGTGACGCCTTGCCCTTCAGAGCAAAGATGCTTTGATCTTCTCCCATTAAATATATCTAGTGTGGACCTCGCCTGAACTTGGTAAGGAAAAAGAAAAAAAAAGAAAAAACCCCACCAACATTGGTATGAAAGGGAGGGAGTCCTGTCGATTGCTAAGATTATTCATTACTTTTCAAACACGAGGCTGTTTGTGAAGCCTTTGTGTAACATACACATGAAAGACTGTGACTCTGCCCGCTTCTGTTTGTGGGTGCTGGCTTTTCTCTCTCTCTCTCTTTTTTTCCTATTCTCCTTTCTGCTCCAAAGGGGAACCCGACTGGACAAGGAAGGCACCTAAGACAGAGCAGCCGACAGTCAAGAAGACGACTGGACAGAGGGATGGCATACCTGAATTGGAAGGCTTGGAGACTCTTCCTTTAGGAACTGGAAGTAACAGCAATTCCAGGGACTGCGTCGCGGGCGGCGGGGGTGGGGGCGGTGGCGGGGGGCTGACTTTCTCTGGCTTCTTCTCAGAAGGCGGTGGCGGCAGAGAATCGTCAGGCAACAAGGAGGACTTCTCGGCCAGGAGGGTGCCAGCGGCCCTGGCGGCCACCTCTTTCAGGAGGGCGGCCGAGGAGGTCATCGAAGCCAGCGAAAGGAAAGAGCTGGCCGGAGGAGGATGCTCCTGACCAGGAGTCAAACTTCTCTCGCTGACCTTCTTGGATAACGCTGCCAAGGTGGAACTGGCAGATTGGGAGCTAAAGGGGGAGGAAAAGGACTCGAATCGCACGGTGTCCTCCGTCCTGGAGAGCGACTTGTCCTGCAGAACGGCGTTGGCTGCGGCTTTCAGCTTGAGGATGGCCGAGTCTGGGGACAGGCCGCAGGCGGTGGTTGACGTGGACAACCACTTACCTTGATTCCAGAGAAAACGGCTACTTGGAGTGTATTGGTCGTTCTGGTCCTGCTTCTCGGCCAGCTTCCTGGCCAGGACACTGAGCTGCTGGGCATGATGAGAGGGCGAGGAGAAGGACAGGTTGGAGCCCGCGTTCACGGGCGACTCCACTCTGCCATTGGCCGGGACTGTGGCATCCAGTTTGAGAGAACCAGCCTCGAGCAGCCGCCTCAAGTTGCTGCTCAGAGGTTTGTTGGAGCCCGGGGGCTCATCGTCACACAAAGAAGACACTCCGGGGGACAGGTGGTCTTGGCAGGGCAGCGAGTCTCGCAGGACCTCCCCGTCCAGGGCCACCAGCTCCAGCGTGTGGCTCCTGGGGGTGGCGCTCCCCAGGGAGGTGTCTGGGGACGTGGACTGCTCTTGGATCGGGTCCTCCAGGCACAGCTTATAGTTCTCCTGGACTTCGCCATAGGAGGCTTCTGACGGCGTCTCTGATGAGTTTCCATACCAGGCTTCGCCTTCGCTGAGCTCCGCCTCGGCCTCGTCCTGCCTACTAACATCTGGGGAAGTAAGGAGAGCAGGTTTAGTGCAGGCATGGGACATTCAAATGAGGCTCCCCCTCGGGCCAACCACCCTCCAGCAGCCGGCTGGCCCCGCAGAGGGCATGTGACCATCAAAGGTAAGCCCCCTGAGGGAACAGAGGCCCACAGTCACTCAGCTGCTTCCAACCCCGTTTCCTCCAACACAACATCAATTATTTTGTGCCTGTGAGCCACTTACTGGGGCTTGAACTCAGGGCCTGGGCACACTGTCCCTTAGCTTTTTTTTTGCTCAAGACTGGCAATCTACTGCTTAAGCCGCAGCTCCACTTCTGGCATTTTTTGTGGTGGTTAATTGGAGATGAGAGTCTCATGGACTTTTCTGCCTTGGCTGGCTTCAAGCCTCAGTCCTCAGTAGATCTCAGCCTCCTGGGTAGGTAGGATTACAGGCAAGAGCCACCAGCACTTGCCTTAAGATGCTATTATTTTTTTTTAAAAGCTAATAGTAAAGGGATGGGAGGGGAAAATTGGGAGAGAGCAAAGGAAGGGGTAACATTGTCCAAAAGAAATGTACTCATTACCTGACTTATAAAACTGCAACCTCTCTGTACATCATCTTTATGATAACAATAAAAAAGAAAACAATAATAAAATGAAAAGCAAATTCAGATATGTGAACAATCTCTGCCTAACTCATTTCACAAGTTGTTCTGAAGCACAGATCCTAATAGTCACGTGACCAGGTCGAGTACTGCAGACAGTCCAATCGCACCAGCCAATACTCTTTGTATTACTGACTTCTTGCCATGGTCATCTCTCCCATGTCATGCATGCTACTTGTGAGTCTGATTCCGACATGCTTGCTACAGTAATTAGGAATTGTTCCTTCCCCTCCCCCCTGCTAAAAGCCCATTAATTTCTCAATCAGCCCCTCCCCATCTCACTGTCCCAAGCACCAGTCAGGTGGGTCTCTGCAGTTCCAGGCTCACTCCTGAGCTCTGCCATTTTTCTACCTTAGCTCATGACACTCTCTCTAAATGTCTTTTCTCAGAGAAGCTGGCTGTCCACACTCGTCCTTCTGAACCCAGCTCCATGGTTTCTTCCTTACATTTCTCCTCAGAATTCTCAGTCTGAATGACTCTCCTCTTCCTACTTGTTCATTCACTCATTTAAGAAATAATTATAAGCTGGGCACTAGTGGCTTTCGTCTGCAATCCTAGCTGTTCAGAAGGCAAAGATCAGGACAACGGTAGTTCAGGGCCAGCCTCCTTCCTACCACCAATAAGAAGCTGGATGGTGGTATATGCCTGACACTCCAGCTGCACAAAAATAGGAGGATCCCCACCCAGGTAGAAATATGAAACCCTATCTGAAAATCACTAAAGCAAAAAAAGGGCTGGAGACATGGCCCAAGTGGGAAAGCACCTGCCTGCCCAGGTACAACTTTTTTTTTTTTAATGTGAATAGGACAGTCAGGGTGGACGTCAACAAGGTGGTGGTAACATGTGAGCAAAGACGTGGAAGGTGAGACCGGTCCGCTCTGCAGAGTTCCACAAGAAAGAATCATGGTGTCCACAATGTCAGCAGAAGCCTCGCTCATGTGCCTGTGGCCCAGCAAGGAAGCCTGTGGTAAAGAGCAGTGGGAGAGGAGGCCAGAGAGGGTTCAGGCATGTGTGGGGGCCATGTATGAAAGGTATGTCCATCGGATCAGCAGGACTCAGTACACTACTGACATCGTGCACAGCAGGAACAACATGACAGGATTTCTCTGGTCAAAGGCTTGTTCTGGTGACTGTGTAAGACCCACGGTGCAGGTGTAGGGCACCGGGACACGCGGGAGGCTGGAATCCAGGTGAGGAACAGTGAGCCCCTTGCTCAGGTAACTGCAGGTGGGGAGAAGTAGCCAGGGTCTATGCATATTTTCTTTGGATTGGTTTTGTAGCACTCTAAGGGATCTATTATTGCCTTCTCTTCCAAAATGGCGGTCTTTCTTTGAAGGTCAGGATTGGGCCCAAGCGCTGTCCCTGAGCCTTTTCGCTCAAGGCTAGCACTCTATCACTTTGAGCCACAGCACCACTTTCGGTTTTCTGGTGGTTAATTGGAGGTAACAACTTCCCAGGCTTTCCTACCAGGGCTGGCTCTGAACCACAATCCTCAGATCTCAGCCTCCTGAGTAGCAAGGGTGACAGGCGTAAGCCACTAGTGCCCGGCTAGGATTGGGTTTTATTATTACCACACACCCCACACACTGGGCCTGGCACACTGCGTGGTCACTCACAGAGCTCAATAAACGTTTAGGGATGAAGCAAAGTTCTCACCAGTACTAAGTTCAGTCCCCATCACAGGCAGTTCCCTTTTCAGACCCAAACTAGCTAACAACTAGCAATGCATGAACTCTAAGCTAATACATTGATCTCCCCATGCTATTTAGAGACGAAATGTCACAAATGACAAATTCTCTTTCATGAAGCTAAAGTTCTGCAACTCCTTCCTGAGATTCTTTATTAAGTTATCAAGAAAATGTAAAATATCAAATGGAATTTGCTGGGGGGAAAAAAAGGCAGATAAAATTGAATTTTCTCTGTTAAAAACAGTCTGGTTCCTTGTGATTTGCCACATTTCCTTCTAGCCATGTTGATTTGAACATTTTTCATCTCTCCTGAAGTCCGTGGTGACCTGAACTCTTCATCTCCCTGATGGCTTCTCGAAGGAATGCTTTTTACCAAACACCAAGCAGTCAACATCAATTTCAACAATAGGGCTAATTTTGTGTTTCTTTAGCAAACCACCTTTCCTGATTTCAGATTAAATACCTTATCCTTCAAGAGAATCACGTGATACATCTACTATAAATAGTTTTTAAGAAGTTAAAGATTTAAAAATCACTACGGTAAGAATTAGTTCTTTTCTTTGGTCTTTATTGACATTCATTAAATGAACAAATGGGAAAATATATACTTCAAACTTAAATACTTTTAGATTACATTTTTGTCATACTAGAGTGTTTAGGTAAGTTTGGTCCTAAGGACCACATACAGTGGCTCATTCCTGTAACACAAGCTATGAGGAAGATGGAAATCAGGAAGATTTAAGTTTGAGGCTAGCCCAGGGTCAAGGTTAGTGGGGTCCCATTATGGTCAATAAGCCAGGCATGGTGGCATGTACCTGTCACTGCAGATACCCAAGAGGCATAGGGAGGGAACTGTGGTGGTCTGGGCAAAAATGTGAGACCCTGAAAAAAATAAATAAATAAACTGGAGAAGAAATAAAAAAGGCTGTCCTTCACTAATGAAATTGGGTTAACTAGCAAGGAACATAAAACCAAGAGTCTGAGAACTAGAGTTATAAGGAGATGTCCAATCTCATCATTTTACCGAGACTATTAGACATGCTAAGTTGTTGGTTCAATCAACACCACACAGCCACTTTGTGCTGGGACCAGAACCAAGAAGCCCAAATCCCCCAACACCCAGCCCAGGGCTTCTCCAACAAGCCGGCACAAAGTACTGAGTCCTGGGATGACCACTTCTGGGGAACTCTGGCCTGCCCTCTGCCCCCATCCTGTTATCCTTCCACCAGCTCAAATCAGAAACCAGCAACAGATCTACGCGGAGAGAAACCATTAAGAGTTTGGGGAAACCCGGATTCTTACATTCTAACCTCACAACTCCCTTTCTTTTTCTTTGAAGGAATTAGAGGTTGATTCAACTGCCTAAAGAAGTTAGCACATCTATTGGCAAAGTCCAAGCCTGCATCCTAAAGCTAAGTAAGTTGTCAGATCACACTCTATTTCTATCAAGCAGTGATGAACGCTGCAAACATTCCTGAATGACCTAATCTCTACGTTTATCTTCAGTACAGGGGATCAAACCCAGGACTTTATCTGTGCTAGGCAAAGTGCTCTACCACTGGGCAACATCCCCAACCCTGGGCTTTTTGAGGTGGGGGTCTTACTATATACTTCAGGTTCACTTGGAACTCCTACTTCTGCCTCCTGAGTGCTGGGATTGTAGGTGTGTACAACCAGGCCTGGCTTAATAGTTACACCAAGTACAACTTTTCCAACGCTGTTCAAACACAAACCCCAAACAAACGAGCAAAGAATTGTTAGAGCAGTTTATGTTCTCTAAAATATCTTTGTGTTTCTTAACCATTCATTCCTCCATCCTTTACACCACACACACACACACATACACACAGTCACTGAAACAGTCATACCACTGGACAGTCAGAAAGTGTGGATAGAATAAGAATGTTTTCTAAACTCATAATACTTTATCAGTCACTTTTCCAAGCTGCTGCTTCTGAAATGGACGCTTTTCAAATTATAAGCCACTGAAAAATCTTAACAGGAGACCTCAAAAGAGCAAGGACAGGAATTCAAGGGGTGACATCTCTTAAATGATTTGGACATTACCTGAGGTCAAATCCAAGGTTCAGGAGACTTTCAGAGAGATGAATGTAAGGGAAGGGAGGAGATGAAGAGGTAAGAGAAAACCAGACAAGGCTCAGACAAATATGTATTCAGCTCACCAAACTGTAGGGGTCTCGGCTGCAAAAAAAATCTTTCATTCACGAATTGACTGTGTCTGCTGCTCCACGACTCTGGATTTTCCCAGTCAGTGTCATGGGGGAGGGGGGGTCCTGGCGGGGGCTGCACTGGCCCAGCTTTCCCCACATTCCCACCCCACAGCAGCCACAGGGCAGCCAGTGCCCTATACGGGGAGGGGGGAGGGAGGGCAGGGGGTGCGGGTGTCCGCCAGGCTCTCCTGCAGCCCCAGGAGCTAGAGGTCAGGCAGGCCTTGTCTTCTGCCTCTCTTTCAGAACCTGAGAAATCCCAGCAGCAAGACACCTCTATTTTCTTGTCTATCAACCAACACAGAAGCCATAGGAGGAGCTCTGGGAAGCAGAGAGAGGTCCTGGAAAAGCTTCCCCGGGATTTCACAGCTTTCTTATCCAAGACATCCTGGGGACACCTCTAAATGGCCAATGTAAATAACTCCTAGTAAATAGGTTATTTT